ACTATAAATTCTATAATTATATATATTATTATAGAATAGGACCTAATGGATTCGAACCAATATTATAATGATTAAAAGTCATACGTATTAACCTTTATACTAAAGTCCCTAATAAAAAATTTTATACATAATGTTTTGTTATAACTAATTAGCAGATATCTACTTTAAATTTTTTTATTATGAATTATGAACCTCAATAGTAAACTGATATATACAAGAATAGTCAAACTACATCTACAAAATGTCAATATAAGATTCCAGATTCAAATCCTACGTGATGATTGTCTGTTAAATGGTATGCATAAATTCTTCATAAACCTACAGCCAAGAATATTGTACCTATTATAACGTGGAATCCGTGGAAACCTGTCCCAAAGTAAAAACATGTACCATATGCACCATCACTTATAGTAAAAGATGATACACTATATTCTACTCCTTGGAATATTGTAAAAATAACAGCTAATATAACTGTAGCAATAGAACCGTATAAAGCTCCCCCTCTATCTCCTTTAATTAAGGCATGGTGAGCATAAGTTACTGTTGCACCACTAGATAATAATATAACTGTATTAAGTAAAGGTAATTCAAAAGGATTTATAGCTTCTATACCCATAGGTGGTCATTGGGCTCCTAATTCAACTGTAGGTGATAAAGCGCTATGAAAGAAAGCTCAGAATATAGCAAGGAAAAATAAAGCTTCAGATACTATAAAAAGTATTACACCTAGATTAATTCCTTTTTGTACAGCTAATGTATGATTACCTAAAAATGTACCTTCAGATATAATATCTCTAAATCACATAACAAAAGATAATATAACTGTTACAATTCCTATATAAAAGAAAACATAAGAGTTCTCGAAACCATGTAGACTTAAAGCAGTATTAAAAGCTGTAGTAAATAAACTTATACTAGTGTATAAAGGTCAAGGAGAAGGAGAAACTAAATGGAAAGGATGATCTTGAAAATTACTTCTTATTAAGTTACTCATCGATATTTTTAATTTTATTATGACCAACGCACCTTAATTAAAATTATATAGTGTAAAGCCCTTAAGATGAATCGAACATCTATCATAATATTAACAGTATTATGCTCTACCGTTGAGCTATAAAGGCTAGGAGACAAGAGATTCGAACTCTTAAAGCATTATTTTGCTATTGAGTTTACAGCTCAACCCTTCTTGCCGATAAAGGAACCCTCCTTTAAATTACACTTAAGAAAGTGTAATTTATTAATAAAAAGAAAGAGATTCAAACTCTTATATTTTCTGATGCTTTATTGAAATATATAATACTATACTATAAGTATATTTTTTTGTATTATATATATAATTATATTTTACTTTTATTTGTCCCGTGCAACTTCCACTACACGAACCATATTTCGACTTTACACTAATCAGAGCTACGCATACGAAGATTTCTATTGTAATATTCTATTTTAATAACTAGAAGAGATCATAATAAAAAAGCAAACTTATTGCATACACTCCTTTCAGCATGTGACGAGTGGTTAGTACCAATCCGAGAGAATATTCACCGTGACATGGTGATTCACGATTACTAGTAATTACTTATTCATATAGTCGAGTTTCAGACTACAATCCTTATATATATTTATATCCTTTTTTTTGAGATTAGCTTAAATTCACATTTTTGCTTCTCTTTGTTAAGGAATATGTGGCACGTCTATAGCCCACAACATCAGGGCCATGATGACTTGTCTTTTTCCTCTTTATCAAATCCAATATAAAGGAAGAATGCTTTATTATAATATATTTAAAAATAAAGCAGAGGATTTCGTTAATTCATGGAATCTCCATAGTTTCACAACATTAACTGAAAACAGCCGTGCAACGCCTGTATTTTAAAAATAAAATATTCAAATTGTGGTAAGGTTTTTCGTGGATCATCGAATTAAATAACATACTTCACTACTGGTGTCAGAAACGGCCTAGTGATTTCAGTTCCTGCGTTGCCACATTACTCTTGAGGTGGAATGCTTTCATTTTCATTTATAGACTAAATAATATCTAACCTATAGCATTCAGCATTGTCTGCAAAGACTACTGGGGTACCGAATCCTGTTCGTGATCTATGCCTTCGTCCTTCAACGTCAGTTTTTACATAAGAGACTGCCTTCGCCTTTACCAGTCCTTTTGGTATCACAGAATATTATCTCTCCACTCTAAGTACTGTCTCCTTACATAAAACTCTAGTCAAATATTACCTTTTTTAGGATATTTTGACCGTCTGGGTACCCTTTAAACCTATTTAAAATGAATAACACTAGTCTCATACGTATTACCGCGACTGCTGGCACGTAATTGGTCAAGACCTTTATATATATATTGTCATTATCTATATATACTTAAAATTTTA